CGAAAGTTGATAAACCAGTGGTTTTACGGCGACTGTGGGCTCTAAAGCCAGTGTTTTTATTTTTTATATTTTTTATGTTTTATTTTTCTCAACTCTACCCCTGAAAAAAAGGACAGAATTCAAATTTTACTGAGAAAAAGACAAAGAGTCAATTTTTTATTTATCACAGATGTCATTTAAATAATTCACGATAAAAAATTAACATATTTTTTAATTATATTTTTATATTTTAATAATATTGGATTTTAAAGAAATACTTATTACATAAGAATAATTTAATTAATTACACATTATATATATATATATATATATATATATATATATATTATATATATATATATATATAAATCTAGTAAAACTTTATGAATATCAAGATGCTCTAAATATCTTAAAAAATTATAGAATATTTACTGCTTAAAAACAGTATTTACATATTTATCCGCTACCCTGTTTAAAATAAACAGCAAGAAAATAATGGTATCAGAGCCAAGTTGCTAAAGAAAATATGATACTAGATAGAAATCTAGTAAAACCTTTATGGTATATAGAATACGAAACTTTAGTAACAATACTAAAAATAATGAAAAATTTAGATGAAGATCTAAAAGAAAAATAGTCTCTATAATTGCTCTTAGAATTAGAAAAGAGGAAGACAGACAAGAATTAATATACAATTCATATAGTTTTCATAATGAAACTAATATGATGGATACTTTTGATTATTACTATTCAGAATAAAATGAGTTTAAAAGAAGTCTCTGAACTTCTAAAAGACTTAATAGAAAGTCAAAAACAATTAACCTTACGGTTAAAAATGATAGAAATAGAAATTAATTATATAAAAGAAAATCTTTCAGGAAAAATAACAAACATGATAGAAAAAACTGATAAGTTTGACAAAAAGGTTAGTCAAAAATATATAGAAGACTTACTAAACAAAAGGCATGCAAGTGCAAGTACCTATCAAAAAGGAAGCATGGATGAAATATTAATCCAAAATTTCCTTGAAAAACAAAAAAAGAAAGAAAAAGATTTATATGATCTAAAAACAAATGTAGAAGATAATTCGGAAGAACTTAATTCTGAAGAAAAAGAATCACAAAATAATGAATGAACTAGATGAATTAGTCTATTCAATGGAAGATCTAAGTCTTTCAGACGAACTAAAAATATTCATGAACAAAGGGGAAACAGGAGGACCCCAAGGAAAGTTTGAAGCATCTACTTCAATGAAACAAGAATGGCAAGAGCCAGAACAAGATAATAGAAATTTGCTAATAAGGCAAAGAAAAACAATGAATTTTCAAAACATTTTCATGATAATAACAAATCAAAATTCATGCCAAATAGGCTTCCAACTGGAGACATTGGAGCTCAATTTCTTGATCTTGAATGCAAAAGAGATCCAGAAAATAGCTTAGACTTATGGTCTCAAAATATGCTCCTATATTTCCTTTTGGGAAAAGGAAACTACACCAGATGAAGAAAAATATACCATCATGATAAACACTTTCATGGGAAAAGTAAATGATTGGTTTTCTGGATTAACAGAAGATGCAGAAAATATAGTTAAAAATGATACCTTAAAGGGATTAAAAAACTCTGTACAAGAAGGTATAACAAATTTAAAACAATACATAGCAAATGAGTTCTTTGGTGGACAAGGAAATATAAAAGAGAACAAAGAAACTATAAGAACCATTGCTAAAGAACAATTAGAAAAATTACAAATTTGTAAAATGAGTTATATTCAAGAATACACTTGTGAATTCGAAGAATATTATTATAAAGTATTTGATAGTGGGAAAGAAATGTTACCATACCTAGAAAAATACTATCAAAAACTACTAGGCTTCTGGGCAAAATACTTCAGAGAAGAATATGAAAAAGAAAATAAAAAGGGAGATACTCTTGGTCAAAGAATTAATTTTCTAAAGAATCGACTTAGTCAACTTTGTATGTCTCATAACATTCAAAGAAAAGCTAAAAGAATAAATACACAAATTTATTGTAATGATACAAAAGCATCTACTCAATGGGGATGTGATGATAGACCATACAAAAAAAGAAAACAATTCAAAAAAGGTTTGAAAAGGAGAAAAATCTTCTCAAAACAGAAGTAT